ATTTTAAGTTAACTATTTCTTCCTCTTTCCAGTCACAGAGCACTTTATTTTGAGAGTTGTTTAAGTGAGAGAAAATCTGTAACATAGTCCAGATTGGGGGAATTGTAATGTTTAATCATTTCTTTTATTATGTAAATAATTTTTGCATTGAAATTTGCATAGATTTTTGTTCGTATATGCTGTCAATTATAGTTCTTGGAAAGAAAATCGAAATCGGCAAAAATCGGTATCGGCAGGTAGGCATGGACCGGTATGAGATTTTGACGGTATGATAACCGTAAGAAAAAAATTTCACGGTATCACAGTATTGTCGTTACAGCTCTAAAATGTATTCTTTTTAAATGACTGGGTAAAACAAAAACAAACAAAAAAACTTTTTTTCCGCTGAACACAATATATTTTGTTTTTGAGCAACACAGAATATTAGGAACAGTAGAATTTGTTTACTTTTTCTTTGATTTGTTTCCTAAAAATAAGACCAATAAAGACTGACATCTTTATTTAACCTAAATCTGTAAGCTCTGAATGAGACGCAGATTCACTCTCTGACAGCAGGAGGCGCTCATGGAACACCAGATACAGTATTTCCTTGGTTACAGCCATAAACAAAGCAGCACTGTGCTGAAACACTGCTTTAAACTATACAGAGACAAGATGAAAAGAAAATACCACGTAAACTTTTCTGAAGACAGTCAGTTCCCCTCAGAAACACATTCATATAAACCCCCAAATACGAGTTGCTTGCAATAAGACAAAAAACGTCCGGTTGCCGATCGCGTAAGTTCCAGGGGCAGCCGTCCTACACACACGTGACTGACCGCTCGCTCGCACCAACAGGAGGAGGAGAGTCGTGTTACTCTCTACACTGCACTGAACCTGAGGGATTCCTAGACTTTCAGTCTTTGAGGAGACATGAAAAACAGTGCATTCCGCAGGAACGGTATAACGGAAAATATTAGTGGTTTTGAAACCGTGAAATTTTCAAATCGCGGTATACCTTGAAACCGGTAATCGGCCCATGCCTTTCGGCAGGTCACACTTCCAAAAAATTGGAAATCGGCTAAGAAAATTGCAATCGGTGCATCTCTAAAACAAATATGTGGGTGGATTTTGATGTGATAGGACAAGAGAAGATGGTCTTTTCACTGGAGGAAGCATTATTATGGACTATATTTTGCTTAATAATGGATTTGTTTCTTACAAACATGCAGCTTTTTGCTTCAAAAGATGATATTGGTTGAATGGAGTCAAACAGCTGATAAAAACCTCGCAATAATCCACAAGTAAACCCTTTTTATTTAAAAGGTTTTAATCAGCTGTTTGGACTCTCATCCTGACGGCACCCATTCACTGCAGAGGATCCATTGGTGAGCAAATGATGCAATGTTAAATTTCCCAAAATCTGTTCCAATGAAGAAACAAACTCATCTACATCTTGGATGGCCTGAGGGTAAGTAAATTTAAGCCAATTTTAATTTGTGAACTGTTCTTTTAAAAGCCTTCTCTGTGTGTGGTATTATTATGTTAGGTAAAATCTTTTTAATAAGGGCTAATTGTAACAATTGTAGGTTATTATTATGCAGTTTTTTTTATTTTGTGCTTTTGATTCCTCTACTTTTCACTAGGATTTTGAGGCATAATATAAAATATAATAAAATGTCTTAGCTCTGTCAGATAAAAATTCATCCTTATCATATTCTTGATAACTTGCTCAAGGACTCCTCTCTGTGCCAATCACAACAGGCTTGGCCAGCTGACCAATCAGAGCAGAGTAGGCTTATGGAAGGGAGGGGTTTGCTCCGAACTTGCTTGGAACGAATCGTTTCGAAATCTTTGGCAAATGACTCTAATATTAAATGTATATTCTGAGAAAATTACAATGTTTTCTGACCTTAGATGCATTTAAACCTGTTGTAGGGGACTCCAACACAATATTAGGACACTTTAAAATACCATATTACCTGCTCTTTAATATACCAGTTAGATACAAATGAATTAACTTCAGTACTTTTCTTTTTCTCTCTGCCCTTCTGTAAATCAGCCGTTCTCCTCACCGGGAGAAAAAGAAGATAAAAATTAAGAAGTATTGGGATGTACCGCCTCCTGGCTTTGAACATATTACACCCATGCAGTACAAGGCAATGCAAGGTGAGGGACATGACATAAAACATTACCCTGTGTCCATTCATTAGAGTAGAGGTGTGTGTGATACCGGTTGCAAAGATTCACAGAAATGTGTAGAAAGCTCTAAATGACTGTTAAAACAAAAATTTTATTTTTAAAATGTCCTTTTATTATTTCTTAGTAGGATTTTTAAATCGCTTTCCATAATTCTATAATCATGCTATATATTATCAACTTAACATTTTTCAGAATATTGGAGTTTTTTAATTTTTTTTATTATCACCCACACCTATCACTAAGTATGATTTATTCTGTTCCTTGCTTTCTGTGTTTATTGTATTTATTTATTTTGGTTCAATTATTATTATTTTTTTAACAAACATCTCCTGATAATAACAAAATAAGTTAATCATTCGTGTTTTGTTGTTAATGCAGTTATTTTCTCTGTCTCTCCCTCAGCTGCTGGTCAGATCCCCACTACAGCTTTGCTGCCCACCATAACGCCAGACGGCCTGGCAGTAACGCCGACCCCGGTACCCGTAGTGGGCAGTCAGATGACTCGCCAGGCTCGCAGACTTTACGTTGGCAACATCCCATTTGGCATCACAGAGGTGTTAAATGAACACTATTCACATACTAGAATTCCTCTGCAGGGCTTTGGAGAACAGATCCACATAGAGAACACTGGCACGATTAAATGTATTATGCAGAAGCATATTGTATATTAAATTTCCTCTGTTTTTACGTTTAGATTGCACTTGCCATTATTCATTGCTCACTTAAATTTAATCTTTAAAGGGGTCATATGACGTTGCTAAAAAAGAACATTATTAAAACCATGTCTGCATTTGTGATCGGAGAAACAACAAGCCTACTCTACACTGCTCAAAACTCGCGTTTGAATCATCAGTGGCAAATCCTTTAAATATGTAAACGTACTTACGTTTACATATTAACGTACATGTAAACGTACTTACTTTATAGAAACAGCCTTTGTGCACAGAAGCATTGTAGGCTACTGGTTCAGGAAACAGTCCTCATCCTCCATAAATATTTGGGTTGAACTGTTCCGGAACAGTGTTGTAAATACAACTTAACCACTGATTTCTAGTTGTGTCCTCTTTTGGAAGGCCAAACAAAGTAGTTTCGCTTTCATACCGAAACACACAGCGTCTCCACAACATGGCGGTGGCGGCAGCAGCAACAATACTACAGCGAGAATCAAAGTTACGCCTTCTTTCTTTGCATAAACATTTGGGCGGTGTTATGCAAATCTTCCCACATAGTGACGTAGATATGTGGGGGCGTGTTAGAACGAGCCGTTTTAGGTAGGCGTGGCTGACTCTTAACTTTTATAAAGAATATCTCTTTGGATTTGAGACTTTAGACTTTGCAACTTTACAGATCTTCTTTATGCACCAAGAGCTTGTAACACTCCAAAGAGAAAGGAAAACTTGAAATCGCATCATATGACCCCTTTAAGAACACTTATAATTTAATAACACTGTTAGATGTACTGTTTAGAAAGTCTTATTTAATCTAATCTAAAGTTGTTTTCAGTGTGATTTTTCTTGTTTATTTAGACAAACTATAAATAGTGAACACTTTAATATATACCATTTTAATAAGTTATTGTTCACAACATGAAATTAAATATCTGAAAGAAAAAAAAAACACTTTCTGTAGCTCACTTATAATTCTTCTTCCTCAGGAATCTATGATGGACTTCTTCAATGCCCAAATGAGACTCGGCGGTCTGAATCAGGCCCCAGGAAACCCTGTCCTCGCTGTCCAGATTAACCAGGACAAGAACTTTGCTTTTCTTGAGGTGAGAAATGCCTATGTTCACTGACAGAGGCTTATATTGCTAATGAATAGGTAAGCTGGGTTCCTTACAATTTTCCTCCTTCAGTTCCGATCGGTGGATGAAACCACGCAGGCCATGGCATTTGATGGCATCAACTTCCAGGCGCAGAGTTTAAAGATTCGCCGGCCGCATGACTATCAGCCATTACCTGGCATGAGCGAGAGCCCCAGCGTATATGTCCCGGGTAAGCAGACTTTACATTTCCCTCTTTACTCTGAGATCTCGGATCACAACAAACATGCCATTTTCCTTTGATTACAAATAGCTTCAGCATACGTTTGTATTACATTTGCATTTCCAGGTGAATAAATTTTATTTAAACTTGACCCTAAGAAAATTAGGCTGTTACCAGGCTGTTATTTCTATTCTCTTCATTTCAACCCTCTCATTTTGTTCTTTCAGTCTATTATTTTCTTCTGCCAGTCAGTTGTCTGTTAATGGCTGTTCTCCATCTGCTCCACAGGTGTGGTGTCCACTGTTGTACCAGACTCTATTAACAAGCTTTTCATTGGTGGTTTGCCAAACTATCTCAATGACGACCAGGTTGGTTACAAATGGTTTCTAGTAGAAAGTCTATATAACATCTGAAAAAATGTTTAATAAAATTAAACTGTAAACTAAAATATGTATCAGAGCATATTTTAGCAAATTTTATTAAGTCTTTTTAGATAAAAAGCCTAATATACCATGAAAACATAGTTACTTTTTATTGTAAAGAAGAGAAACAAAAAACCATTTATTAAATCTAAACCAGTAGATTTTAACCATGGGAACCGAGGCCCATTAAGGAACTTTTTTTTTTTTTTTAATCCGTACTCTTTAATTCTTATCCAGTAAATCATGAACAACTGGAAGTGTCATGCGGCCTTCAAATATTGTTGTGGACAATATGGGGCCTTGGGGTCATAAAGGTTGAGGTTGAGAATCAGTGAACTAAACTGCAGAAAATGAGTAAGTTATATTGAAAAAATGAGCTAGTAGGATAGATTGCATTATTCCTAAACACCATAAGAACTAACAATAATATGTGGTAAATTTTGCCCAGATTGTGATTGTCTTGGCTATGTGTATTCTCTTCAGTCCCACATGAGAAATGAGCAGCAATAGTTAATTTTTTTTAAAAGTACCTAATTATTTGTGGCACAGGTTGTTTTGTGACAGCAAGGTGATACATGCATATTTGACACAAGCAAACTCACAGCAGAAAATGGTAATGGAAAAGCTGAAATGTTTTTGGCACAAAACACACAAAACTTTTTTTTTTTCTGTTGCTTTTTCCTGCTTATGTTAGGTGTGATATAGCAATTTGAATTGATTTTTTTATGTCCTCAGGTTAAAGAGTTGTTAACTTCTTTTGGACCTCTCAAAGCCTTTAATTTGGTTAAGGACAGCGCTACCGGCCTCTCAAAGGGCTACGCTTTCTGTGAATATGTGGATGTTAACATCAATGATCAGGTGAGTTGGCATGGTTAGATTTTCCACAGAATCCATGGATTTTAACATCCTTTGGCCCACTTTAACAAAGTTAATCTCTTAATAATTTTTTTCCAGGCTATTGCAGGACTGAATGGTATGCAGTTAGCAGATAAGAAGCTGCTGGTTCAGAGGGCAAGTGTAGGATCGAAAAATGCCACACTGGTGAGCATGGAGTTCAACTTAAAATATTTTGTATATTGTTTTAAAACATACATTCAGAATCCTTTTTAATTTCTTAATACACTACTGCTCAAAGGTTTGTGGTCAGTAAAATTTGTTTAATTTGAAAGTCCCTTATGCTCACTAAAGCCACATATATTTGATTGAAAATACTATAAAAAAAAAAAAAAGTAAAAGTGAAATATCATTACAATTTAAAATAACTGCTTTCTATTTTAATATATTTTTAAATGTCTTTTTTTCTGTAATGTAAAGCTGAATTTCAGCTGCCATTACTCTTCAGCCTTCAGTGTCAAATTATCTTTTGGAAATCATTAATATGCTGATTTGCTGCACAAGAAACATTTATTATTATCAATGTTGAAAACCAATGTGCTGCTTAATATGCTTTGATAAATAGTAAGTTAAAAAAAAACATTTATTTGAAGTATTTCTAACAATATAAATGAGTGTGGCTCTGATACGGTCACTGAAGCTGATTGCGGCCACTCAATGCTTGTGTTTGTTTTTATACAGTCTATGTTTTATTCCAGCCGCGCCACGCACTTTTCTGAAGCGGCTCTCTTTGCTGCTTCTGTAAAGATACACGCATAAGCCTCCTTTGAATAAATATAGCCAAAATCCCACCAAAATCCATTGCCATGACTTATCGAGAGAGGCAAAAGGTTACGTTTAAGTCTCATAACATTGGTTAATGGAAACGCCGTCATTTCGCAATACTTTTTTATCGACATTTATAAAAGATCGCCAACGTTTTGCGCAAATCTGTAATGGAAACGCGCCTACTGTCACTTCTGAACAGTTTAATGCATCTTTTCTGAATAAAGTTTTAATTTCCTTCCAAAAAATTACTGACCCAAAACCTTTGAAAGGTAGTGTATATATTCCTGGTCTCATCTGTGCATGTTGTTCCAAAAAAAGTCTTTAATCAAAGTGTAGGCAGCACTTCCTAGGAAAACCTTGATGAGTGAGCTCATTATTTTAAATGAGAATTTTTTTCTCAAGCTGTCTTTCTTTTTTTCCTTTCACTAACCCTTTGTAGACAAGTATAAATGAGACTCCAGTGACGTTGCAAGTGCCGGGGCTGATGACGAACCCCATGGTGCAGATGGGCGGTGTTCCCACCGAGGTCCTGTGCCTGATGAACATGGTGGCTCCAGAGGAGCTCCTGGACGATGAGGAGTATGAGGAGATAGTTGACGACGTCAGGGAAGAGTGCTCCAAATACGGCCAGGTCAAGAGCATAGAGATTCCCCGGCCTGTTGATGGCCTTGATGTCCCTGGAACCGGCAAGGTAAGCTTTACCAAACCAGCTCAAGTGATGGATGGGGGCCATGGACTTGGTCAAACTTTGCGGTTCCTCAGTCCTTACGTAGGTGCTGATTAAAGCAGGGGTTCCCAAACTTTTCCATTCCACGACCCACCTAGACAAGTATAATCTATTTCACGACCCACCAAAATATTTGAGATAAAAAAAAATTTGACATTAGCCTACTTTAAGCTTAATCTTAATTAAAAGTATAATATGGCAGAAATTATTTATTTAAGAAAAATAACCATTTTATTTTATTGTACAACTGAAAAATTTCACTACTAATATTTACGTTTTAATTTCTGTTTACAGATGTTAAAATATGAAACATGTCCATAAAAACTTTAAACACGCTCACTCCGGTGAACTGTAATACGCTGTGAGTGTTGTTAAACTCATCGCGAGGTTCAGCGCAGAAAATGCATTCATGCTCCTTCCGTGTGTGTAGGGGAGAGCGAATAATAAATAGGGGACGGGGAGAAATAATAAACAGATGTGCCTCATTTTAAATAAACACTAAAAACTGAGATGACAAATTTACTTCAGTCAGAAACGTACTTTTGAAATGGTTAAATAAATGTTCAGCAATATCTTCAAAATATTTTTTAACTTTGGCACGTTTTTCTCTATATAGAGATGATATGGCAAGTAAATAATACGGAGTTTTGTAAATATTGTTATGCTAGCGTGTGGAAATGTTTAAATCGCGTAGCGTTACAATTAACCCCACGTTTGTGCCCCACTCGGCCTGTACATGTGAAATGCTTTTTACAGCCAGTTTCTTTATTGGTAGGTAGCCAAATGCATAAGGAACGAAAACAGCGCCGAGTTCAAACAGACGATAGAAATGAATGAACATACCTTAAACAGTTTTCGTAACATTTGAATTTTCAATGGATGCAATCTCATGCAGAATATACAGCGCAGTGAAGTGAGCGAGTTTTTTCCTATTAATAATGTGTACCGATCGAGCCTTTTAATAATGACGTCGCTCTGAGACCCTTACTGTTATTACAACTTGTGCGCACTTTAAAACATGCAATGCACGTTTTAAATCGCGGACTTCAATTGGGATTCAAAAATCGCACTAAGAATATTGCAATTCGTAATTAATGTTGGAATATCGTGCAGCCCTAGACTGAACTGTGTGAGTGTGTGTGTCATTGAAACTCAAATTTAGCTGCAGCCAAGTGACTTTGTGCGACCCACCTTGTCCCACTCTGTGACCCACAAGTGGATCGCGACCCACAGTTTGAAAACCCCTGGATTAAAGGGTTAGTTCACCCAAAAATGAAAATTCTGTCATTAATTACTCACCCTCATGTCATTTCAAACCCGCAAGACCTTCGTTCATCTTCGGAACACAAATTAAGATATTTTTGATGGAATCTGAGAGCTGTCTGACCCTGCATTGGGTCATAGGGCACACAACTGAAATGTTCCCAAGTCCAGAAACGTAGCAAGGAGATCTGTAAAATAATCCATGCGACATCAGTGGTTCAGCCGCAATTACACGAAACTACGAGAATACTTTTTGTGCGCAAAAGAAGAAAAAAAAAGAAGACTTTATTCAACAATTCGTCTCCTCCGAATCACCCTGGTGCCATTTTGGAGAATATCTGCTGGACGTAAAGAGCATATGCTATTCTGTGTCAGCTGCGTCACGCGGATATGTTGTTTTCATTCAAATCAAAGCACAAACAACGTAGGAAACAGATTCTGCGTGACGCAGCTGACACAGAACAGCATACGTTGTTTACATCCAGCTGATATTCTCCAAAATGGCACCAGGGTGATGCGGAGGAGACGAATTGTTGAATAAAGTCGTTTTTTTTTTTTTCTTTTGCGCACAAAGTATTCTCGTAGCTTCGTATAATTGCGGATGAACCACTGATGTCACATGGATTATTTTACAGATCTCCTTGCTACATTTCTGGACTTGGGAACATTTCAGTTGCGTTGCTGTCTATGCAGGGTCAGACAGCTCTCAGATTCCATCAAAAATATCTTAATTTGTGTTCCGAAGATGAACGAAGGTCTTACGGGTTTGAAACGACACAAGGGTGAGTAATTAATGACAGAATTTTCATTTTTGGGTGAACTAACCCTTTAAAGCACTTTGACTTCAAACCCTCCACCAATGAACATCTGGTAGCGCTACACAAACATACACAATCCATCTCACGATCTGTTTTATTTTTCCAGATCTTCGTGGAGTTCACATCTGTTTTCGACTCCCAGAAAGCAATGCAGGCCTTAACAGGGAGAAAGTTCGCCAACAGGGTGGTGGTGACCAAGTACTGCGATCCAGATGCTTACCACCGCCGAGAGTTCTGGTAGAGGAAGAGAGCAAGAAAAATAGGATGGAGGAGTAGCAGCTTTGCGATAATAACTCATAAAAAGAGTGAGAAATTGAGGCAGAGATGACAAAAGGGGGAACATTTTTTTTTGTACTCTTTAAAAAAAAATAATAATAAATCCAAAGGTGAATGGTCTGTTTTTTTTTTTTCTCTCTCTCTGGCTGAGATGATTTGTGAGCAATTATGGGAGGGCTTTTGCTTTCATTTGTATTTTAAGAACATTAGCGGGAGAGATTCTGTTATACTGATTATACTTATTCTGTTAATAAAATTACTATTTTTTAATTGTATACTGAAACAAATGATGTAAAATCGTGACCATCAGAGAAGACGAAATAACAATTGATACCCAACCAAATGTTCATATTAGCCAGGTAATTCAAATGAAAACCTCATATTTCAGTCTCTTTCCTTGTTTTTATCTCTTTTTATTTCTCATTTGAATATCCCACTGTGACGGACCCTTCTCGGAAGTCATTCGTCTTCTCTGTTGGCCAACTGACCACGTCTCCCTCCCATTTTGTAGCTTTTTGCAGTTCATATCTCCAGGTATTAGACCGTCCCAGTTTTTGTCTGGTTTTGTTCTTAAACTTAGTCTCTTCCATACATATCACCAACCTATTAGACGGTGATGGCATTTGTCCAGTGTGGCACCTTTTCTGTATGTGTGATGTTTTTTTTTGTTTTTTTTCTCAGTATAATCACTTTTGATAATAAAACTCTTGGAAGTATGATCAGTTGTGAATCTGGTTGTCATTGATTTGTGAGACGCTGCATGCTACTCTGTTAAGAAGCAATATGTAGCATTTTTGTACTTTATTTTTGGCCGGTCACATGCCTAGTTTTTAAACTGAACCAATATTTTCTTCATCTTGGGTCTATGTATAAACATCTATTCCCTCTGCACATCATCTTTGGAGTATGTTTTATGCTGCTTATTGCTTTTTACATAGTACAGCACTATCAGACTTGTATATTTGCTGATTTATTAAAATAGAACTATGACCATTTAGTGAATGCTAATACCTGAAATCAGTAAATGGAAAAAATACACTCATATACCACAAGTGTCTATAATCAATGACAGATTTTCGAATGTTTTTCATTTAAGGGCTTTTTAGCGTTACCTTTTCCAAAGCCACTGAAGTTTGTTTGCTTGTGGAGGTCGTGATTGCTTCATCATACTCTCGTAGCTTGTTATAGGACATCAGATTGAACTGGGATGTATTGAGATGCCGTGGAGGGACTGTGGTAGTTGTATTGAACAGGTTTTATGAAGTCTTGTGAGTCGGAACCAAAGTTAATCACTTCTTTCTCCCTCTCTTTCTCGATGTAAAGCTGAAGGGTTTATCACTGCCATGCAGCAACCTGCTGCAAACACTTTTTTTACTTGTTTACTTTACCTGAATAGGCCTATTGTGTGTTTTTATGTCAGCTTGGACAATTATGTTCATAGTGTGTTGATATGTCTGTTTTCGTCTCAATCTCTCTGTTCATTGAATAAGTTTGGTAATGTCTTGATTTTCTTATGCAAACAGTAGTAAAAGGCTTTTACAATCAACAGTCTTTTAATGGAATAGTTTTTTAAAGCATTTAAAAAGCAGCAAAAAGCATCTTATTTGAGAAAGTTGCTCATATTTTCCAAATGATTTCAAGATGTAGTCCTAAAAGCAGAGCATAAATCATCAGCAAATGAAAGTATTTATTAATATTTTGAATTAGCTTAGTATTTTATATGTTAAAGGTCCCCTGAAATGAAACACGCAGCGTTACTCTGTGTTGACGTCATTTTAACAAACAGGAAGACAGGGCGGGACATATCAAGCACCCCGCCCCCTTTTAAAATAGCCAATAGCGTTCGTTTATATCACAGCTTGGGCTAGAGCCGTTGAGCTCCGTAAAGCCGCATTTGACAGGGTATGCCAGCCACAATCTCATCCATATTGTTATAAAATATAGCATTCTGTGTAGAATTCAAAAATGTCTTAAACCTTAAGACTAACATATTGATACTAACACCCAAAAAACTTTAATTTTGATTTCATGGGGACTTTAGGTTTTAATAATTGTAATTTTTATTCTTTTTTTAACATAGCTTGATTTTTACTTCACTTTTAGTCGTTTTAATGCATTAACATTTTTCAATTTAGCATTTCTATTTTTTTGTTGGTTTTTCAGCTAGCATTTACATTTTCCTTTTACTTTTAACAATAACAATGTTGAAGATTTGAAATTCGGGTTAATTTGGCATGTCAGAGGAATCTGGTGTGTTACTAATTAATAACAGTAAAGAGTTAAAGGTAAATATATTTGGAATATATATTTAGAATTATCTTTTTGACTAAATATTTTTAATAATAATTATTATTATTATTTATTAAATATTTTTGCATTCATTAAAGCAGATCTGATGTACTATGTTTACATTTTATTCACTTTTTATTCACTTTTGTGGACTTCACTTCATAGTAGATGCGTAACAATCATGACTGATACTTTTGAGTAACTGAGCAGCACCTACAAATGTTGGTCTAAATGATGAAGGCTAGTGTTTAGAAATTATTTCACAGGTTTTTCCAGTCTCATGAGCTTTTATATTGCTAAATCCCATCCGTTTCCCAAGCAAGCTGGTTACAAACATCACTGCACTGATGGTGAGCAGCATCTTAGATTCTAAAACTTGCAAACAGTGCTTTGAAACTACGCTTTCTTTTGCTAGAAGCGTAATACATTAGTACAGAATAGTACTTACTAGGCCATATAATAAGTCGGAAATTTTCAAGACATCCCGGTACACCTTTAACCTCTATATACACCAACCATCAGTCGCTATGCACGGAAGCTGTCAAGCACTGCGAGTAGATCGACAGCTCCTCTTATCCAATGAGAGAAAAGAACTGATGGCTGGTACCCAATGACGTTTTAGTGGGCGGGGCCACAAGCCTCCAGCGCACCAGCGGAGGAGGTGTTCCTGGCGGCCATCTTTGATGCGAGAAGTGATTGTTTGGCGAATAGAAATAATAGGAAATAAAAATATAGCGTGAAAAGTTGGGGAATTGTGGTGGAACAGAAGGGGCTGTTAAAAGGAAGATTGAAACTCAGGAAAACCAGGTAAAACATCCTCGCAGCGTGGGAGCGTCACTCCAATTACGTGCAGCTTTTTTTCTTTTCCTTTCCAATTTGTATCCCAGCCAAAAAAAGCTCGAGCCGGTCGCGTTGTCCTTTTTGCAAAATCATAGACATGTATTTACAAATCAAGTATAATGGGAACACAGAATGATCTTGCAGAGAGCTTTACTGAGCTGACTGCTGTAACCGAACGCAACCAGGGTTTAAAGGCTGAACGAATGACTGACAGCCACAGCGGAGAAAAGAGTTTGTGTGAACTTTAATGCAAGGTTAAATAAATTAAATATTCATATGTAGCTCACATTAAGCTACCGTATGGCTTTAGAAGTAACACAGAATAATTCGCACAATCGGGGGAAAAAAGATTTGGATCGGCCCTCTCTGACCGATACCCGATCCGAGAAAAATGGCACTATCGGAGCCGATACCCGATATGAATATCAGATCGGCGCATCCCTTGTACAGCATCTAACAGGCATGTTGTTGGTTTAGATGCAGTGATAAGTTTATGTAGCTCATTCTGTCCTATATTTGTAAAGCACTGCAGTTTTTCTTTGGGTGCGATGAATGAAGCTGAAGTACTAGACGATGTAGAATCTAAATTTGTTATTGTATTTCTGATGTTATCTA